TTGTAGTATCATCACAGGACTCAACAGAATGAACTCCACCTGCAACGGTACTCCCTAACAATCTATAAATATTTCCTGCAGTCATCTTTCCTTTCATCACAGTCAAAGCACCTTTAACAATCCGAATGGTTTCCCTATCCTCATCAGCCTTAGGGATAAAACCATTATTGTGCAAAGTGCCCAAAGAAATCAAATTCTTCTTCAAATCTGGGATATGTCGAACACCACTCAACGTCCGAACAGAGCCATCATACATCTTAATTCTGACATCACCAATACCAACAATATTGCAACATCGATCATCACCCAAATAAATAGAACCAGAATTAACCGACCTGTATGTCGAAAACCATTCCCTATTTGGCGTGATGTGATAAGAATATCCAGAATCAAGAATCCACGCATCCGTCAATTGAGTCATTGAAATAGAAAGCATATCACCCTCACTGCAATCAGAATTGTCATCCTCGACCACGTTCACAGACTTGGATGAAACATCACGCTTCTCATCAGTCTACTTTTTCAACTTCGGACAGTCTCGCTTCATATGTTCCGCCTCCTTGCACTTGTAACAGTGAATTGTCTTCTTATCCCTATATTTGGATCTGGAATTCCGCTTGCTAGACCCTGCCTTCTCTGGCTTCCGTCCACGGTCTCGATTACCCTTGACATATAAGCTATCGGCTTGAGAGTTTTCCCCTGTATTCTGCTTCCGCTGGTTGTGAGCCAACAAGGCTGCAGTAATCTCCTCAACGTTGATAGTCTCTTTCCCATATGTAAGAGTAGTCACCATGTGTTCGTAAGAGGGAGGCAACGAACACAACAAAATCATCGCTCTGTCTTCATCCTCAATTTTTACATCAAGCCGAGCCAAATCAGAAACGATTTGATTGAAGACATTCACGTGTTGCGCCAAATCATGATCGTCCTGCATCTTCAGCCCATACATCCGCTGCTTTAGATACAGTTTTGTCATTAAGGATTTGGACATAAATTGACTTTCCAACTTCCTCCAAATTTTGTCTGGAGACGATAGATGCATGACGTGATAAATAACCTCGTCCGCCAAGCATAATCGTATAGTTCCTGCCGCTCGTTGTTGTAATTCTTCCCAATCTTCCTCCTCCATCGACGCCGACTTTGTAGGTCGCAAAGCCTTCAGGATCCCCTGCTGCGCTAACAGATCCTTCACCCTCGTTTGCCATAATCCGAAGTTACCCAGACCATCGAATTTCACGACTTCGAATTTTGCTCCTGACATCTGATACCAATTGTTGATAAATCGGGCAAAGTAAACGAAAGAACACAAGAATTTTAACGAGGTTCAGCAATGTGCTTACGTCCTCGGTACCTAGGCGGCGCTAGAAAATTTTATTCAATTCTCATAGGTTTAGGTTACATCTCTATTTATAATAGAAAACTGGTACATAATTACAAAATTAACCCTGTACCGTACCGCAGGGCACAACCCCCGCATCCCTAACCCACATAATCGTAACCCCCTCTACGAGACTTTCTTTGTAAGGACAGTTGATGTTCGCTGCGTTCGGTTCGCTCACTCCGCTCCATCCCCTGTCCTCTTTACCGGTATATTTATGAGCCATACCTTACACTAAAGCATTGAAATTCATTGATATTTAACCCAAAATAAAAGGAAGCCAAAACAAAGGAGACAATGGCGTTGTTGAAGCCTTATAGAGGTATCCAAAAGGAAAGGAAACGGATGCACTTACCGTTTATATTATCACTCTTAGGCATTTAGGTTCATGGATCTCTCGAAAATCGAAAGGCTTCGACAATCGACGAGCATCAACAGTAGTACTAGGTTCATGCGTTGTGAAAGTCGAACGTTGATGGTGTAACCTTGGAGGTGTGGACGGATTCGAAAATTGACGAGCAACAAGTGATTTAGTACTCTCTATCACCGGATGAAAACGAAGTGAGGCAGAGACTTTATTGGCTGAAATTTTAGTTAGGGCTTGGGATCTTTGTTAATTTAGGGTTTTAATAGAAATTTGCGGTGTTTGTAATCCAAAAGCCGATATAGTTATGCTCTATCACGACGTTTTTATAAATGCCAGTACTATCCATATATTTTGCGGCATTTGTGTTTAAAAACACCACTATATATTACACCTATTGCGGCGTTTGTATAAAAACGCCGCTAACATACTATTCTATATCGGCGCTTGTTATAAACGCCACTACTGTCCAAATCTTTTGCGGTGTTTGTGTTTAAAAATGCCACTAAAATACAAATATGTTGCGGCATCTGTTGAAAAATACCACTATATATTACACCTATGGCGACGTTTATATAAAAACGTTGCTAAAGTACTATTCTGTAGCGGCGTTTTTTATAAATGCCATTATAGATTAACCATATTACGGCGCTTTTAGATATAAACGCCGCAAAAAGTCAGGTATATATCGGTGATTTTTGATACAAACGCCGTTAAATACCTTTATTTATATAGGATTAACATATTTTAAATATTTAATTTCTTCTCTACATAAACTAAATTTACTACCATGTACTTTTATATAATTAAGAACAACTATACATTTTAATTAAGACAGAAGTTATGCATAAAACTACTTAACAACAAAATACATTATAATTTAGAAACATTAAAGTTATGCATAAATAGTCTTCACCATATTGTTCACTACAATTTAGTCTTCATTGCTCCTTCGTGGGGAAAGGACGTAGGAAAGTTGTTTTCCTAGTTTGACGACGCATCGTTAAGTTTTTCCTCCGTGTAAAGTCTATATAGATAAACTCTTCATCCATTTCACCAAATAAGTCCTCAACCTCCAGTTCACTAAGAAGAGTCCTTGCGCGCTTCAGTGCTTCACTTGAAACAGATAACGACCTTCCACCTACAATATGAAACTTGATTGGAGGTGGCTTGGGAACTGAAGCAAACATTAAAAAAATAGATGATAGAAACGTCTACTTGGAGTAACAGTAGAGGCAACGTCGTCTTCATTGAGGATATATACTGCTTTTGCAATTGAAGATTCTTTCAACGCCATAGAGTTACCAAATTCGGTTCTAAACATCGGGTATTTATCCACTCCTCTATCATCGTTCTCAATAAGCTACGAACATCCTACATGTGTGTGATCTATAAAATTTTAGAGTACAAAATAAAAATATAGAGGCAGAAACTTTAACCGATTCTTACCTTCAATTAGGAGATCGGCCATGGAAGGGTATGGAGCAATATGAGTTCATTTCGGGTCATCATCGAGTTTCTACGACAAGTTCGGATCGATAGCCTCCCAACGTAATTTGATCCATTGTCAAAGAAAATACACCACGTGGACATTCCGACAATAATTTCCCTTACTTAAGGCAACATCTGCTCTTTGTACCACAACCATTTGTTCACATTTTCAAAAGCTATTATTTTCCTATTCGAAAACTATTATTTTTCCATTCGAAAGCATAAAAACACTGCTCCCAATCAGTAAACCAGTAAAACACTATGTATAGATATTGTTTTCCTATTTGAAGGCTATTATTTTTTTCTCAATTACGTTAGCTTTTTGGGTTTTCCCCATTTTAATAATACAAACAAAAAATAAATGAAAAAGTTCAGTAGTGAGAGAAGGGATCAAACCGTGCAATCGTGAGATAATTGTTTGCCGGTGAAAGGGTTTGGTCGTCGGGACAGAAAGAATATGACTTTGCTTGGAATCGTCTGAGGGCCATTGTTGTACCAGAGAAATCCCTTTTAGAGAAGCAGCATTGAAATGATATTAGGGATCGGGCAAGATAAAAGGGTGGAGCATATATTTACCTTTTGGCGGCGTTTTTAAAAAAAGCCACTATAGTACATGTATTTGCGGCGTTTTAATAACAAACACCACTATTGATGATCCCTATTATGGCACTTTTCTAAAAATGCCACTATAAACAACCCTATTACGGCATTTATCATAAAAACGCCGCTAAATTACTACTGTATAGCAGCATTTTTTTGCATAAACGCAACTATAAACGACCATATTACGGTGTTTGTTTGATAAATACCGCTATATTACTATTCTATAACGTCGTTTGTTGGAAAAAGCCAGTATAAACAACCCTGTTGCATCATTTTTATACAAACGCCGCTAAATTATTACTATATTGCAGTGTTTTTTGAAAAAAGCCGCTAAATTACTATTATTTTACGGCGTTTGTTGAAAACGCCACTATAAAGAAATCTATAGCAGTGTTTGTGCTATAAACGCCGCTAAATTAGCACTCTATTGCGGCATTTGTTGGGAAAATGCCGCTAAAGTATCATTTTGTGGCGTTTGGATTGTAAACGCTGCTATATCCTAAAATTTTGTGGCGTTTACTTTCCAAACGCCGCTAAAAACGCCGCTACAGAACACTTTTACTGTAGTGTATTTTACTTATTCGTATGATTTCTAAAATTGTTTCATATTTCCTATGGTTTTCGCAAATAATAATTGAATTTTAATTTTAAAGTTATTTACTTAAAAAATTGCATAGTTATATTTATTGTATATCAATAGAAAAAAAAATCAATAACCACTTGGTCTAGATAAATTAGGCGTTAGATTCCATAAGCAAATCCGGAATTTGAATCTTGATGTTTGTGAATGAAGTAAACTAGATTAAAAGGGTCGTAATCAATTAACAAATCAAATATCGATGATTATAAAAAATAAAAATAAGATTCAAAATTTTAATCTATTTTCTTGAAACGAAATGAGGGAACTTGCAAGTAAGTAAATATATGGGAAAAAGTCCTTAATTAAAACAAAAGAACTAGATCGATTGATTTATATAAATATTCTTAAAAGGCAATATCAAATAAATTTGATTTTTAAATTTCAATATCTACAATTTAAGCCTATTCCTAGATAGACTAAAGGGATAAAATAACTTTTAGTCCTTGAACTTGATATTCTTTTCTAATTTAGTCTTTGAACCTTTTCTAGGTCCACAATAGTCCCTAACCTAAACGTCAACCATGTCAATGGAAATTGATAGTGGACAAGACTCCATTGGCAGCCATAACCATGTGCACTAAAACTATGACCATGGATGCCTGCAAGCACATTGTGAGCAATGTTAACATCCCAAGAGCCGAGCTAGGCTTGGTATTCATCAAATACGATTTCAAGAGCCCCACGAATCGACAAACGCACTCCTTGTAAGACCTATTATACGGCTTCTCCCACTCCATCCAATCCGACGGAAGCTCGTAGTTTCTCTCGACGATCTTCATGTCAAGAATCTGTTTCCTCAGCATGATCAGGTTCTCGTCAACCAATTGTCCGCCGTGATCCCACCATCGAGAGTCTCTTCTGGCCACGTAAATCGGACCGTTTCTAGACCCTTTTTTGTTCCACGGACGGGAAAACATTTTTCGGGGATGGAGAGAAGGGAAGGAATAAGAGGAGGAACAAAGAGAAGCTGCTTCCATATTTGAATTTGGCGAATTTATGAAGTTTGCACCATTTATTTATAGACATGGATCTCAACATGTAACGTTGAACTCAAATGGCATTAATTAAAGAATTGCTGGATTTATTACTAAAGTGTTGATGGCCGGTTTGAGGTTCATGTTTCCTTTGTCCGGGAACGTGGTTTGGCAGTGATGGTCGGTGAGAAACTAATAAAAAATGTTGGTTCTTCAATCACTAACATTTGTTTATAGCAGTGTTACTAAATTCGCCCCATCTCGAATCTCGTTTGAATTAGTCTGCGTTCCAATTCATTAAGAAACGCATGTTGAAACAATTAAATTGGAGTATCGAAAACTCAGTACAGTAAAAACAGATAAAACCAACAACGAGGGAAGAGAGAAAAGAACATCTAGATTATAGCACTACAATGTATGTACTAATATTAAGAAGAAGATAAATTTAAGTTGCAGTGTTTTCAATTAAGCAAAACAAGGAGAAAATTCTATTTCTAATCTATATAATGAATCTATGAATCAGTCATCGCCAAATTGGTCCTTAAACTAAAACGTTTTATATCAATATTTAATATTATTTCATTTAATATTTATCTTATCATTTAATCAGTACGTTAACGTTAATTCTATTGGTTAAAAAAATTATTATGTTATTTAGTGTTCTGTGAGTTGAATTCGTGACCTTTAAAGAATTAATTTTTTAGGTTGCAGGTTCAATTCCTAGGACTTTGGAAAATCAGTAACATTAATGGCATGTTAACAAGAAGATCACAATGGAAAGATATCGATAGTTAGAGAATTGATATAGAATATTTAAAATTTAAGGAGCTATTTAGAAAGTGGGTCGTAGTTTAAAGATTAATATAGAATGTTTTAAAATTTAAGAATCAATTTAGAATGAGTATTATAATTTGGGGACATCTTATGCAATTATATCTAAAGTAATTTAATTTTTTATGTATGTCATAATGTCAAATTACATAATCCATTATTATTTAAATATTTCATAATGTCAAAATTATCCTCAATAATTAAAATAATCATTTTGACCATTATTCCTTTTTAGAGTATTTTAACCTTCAATGTTTTATTTTAAGACAAAAAATGCCTTTAATTTTTATTAAATAATCATTTTGACTCTCATTCTTTTTTCTGGAGCATTATCGCTCCCAATATTTCATGACTTCTATTTTTTTAGTGTGAACCATTTGTTAACGAAAGGTTTCCACCCACGTATGGGCCTTTTTGCATCAAACAAGGACCAAAATACTTTTAAAAACATGAAAGTATTTTAACAAATATTGAGGGTTAATTTTCACATTATAACAATAAAAATTCATGTTATAAAACTAAATTTTAAAAGATATCATCTAACATAAGACTCAATCAATTATTGTGAAAATAAATAATTGTTTTTCTTCATCGTTAAATATACTAAATAATTTTTTTTGTAACATAAAATATAAAAATAATTTGTGCAAGCATTAAATAGTTTCATAGCATTATAGTGTATATGTCTCACTCAATGTTAGATTAAAAAAGAAGAAATGTTGGTGCAAACTTGTTTGGTCAATTATAGGCCAGATTAATAACATGACAGGTTGATACTAGATCGGATAATACCATTTATTTACTAGGTTAATCTCAGATTCATATTCATATCATTCGTGTAGACACCCATTTTTTATTGGGATTAAAATATATATTTTATTTATTATTATATATTATATTATGATTATTATTCTTATTCTTATTATTAGTATTATTAATAATATCATTTTATTTACAATGCAGGCCTAATACAAACAACCCTATTATATTACAAGTGACCAAGACCTGAACCAGGCCTAGCAACTGACCCAAGTTTGGCCCAAATCAGCAAACAACATATTAGGGTTTCAAAACCCTACCCTAAACCATAATCCAGCCGTCGCCAACCGAACTCAGCCGTAACAGTGAACGTCGACGACTAAACGACGACAAGCCACTGAATGCATCATCACACATGTCAGAAGTCACCATATCAATAAAACGTTATCATCTACTCAAAAATCCACTGAGCAAATTTTTAATCAAACCAAATCTTGGAAAATTCGGTGTTGATATCTACTCTACCACTACTTGGAAAAATCAGTGGAAAACGCACCAACAAAATCCATTATAAATGGATGCATGCAACCATTCGAATGGGGGAAGGGAGGGAAGAGGGCAATGAAAAACAGAAATTGTTCATCAACAACAGTGGACGGAATTCTTCGAGAAGGAAAAGAACAACCATTGTAATAAGAGTTTCACTCACCATTGTATTGATAAACAGAGGAAGTAATAGAAAGCAGAGAGTAATTTCTTTGGTATTTTCTACTTTTCTTTTAATATTCCATATTATTTATGGTATTTTTCTTTCAAAACAAGTAAAAAATTGAAAAAAGAAAGAGTCTAGTCTGGTTACCTTTTCTTTTCTTGATCTCGTCGTTGCCGAAGATGGTGGTATTCGTTTGTTTTTAGGGAAGGATTTTTCGTGGGTATTTGTTCTATTTAGGAGAGTCGGAAGAAGGGATATGTTATCTTAGATGTTTGTATAACTTCTCGGTCACTGGAGTTGATGATCAGAGCGAGAATCAACCACTAAGGATATGATTGGTGGTGGTAGTTAGTGATGGCCGTCGTGAGTTAGTGGCTAGGGTAAATATGGGTTTCATCGGACCATGGTGGTCGTTGTTTCTACTGGGGAAGTGATGATGGCCCCTTGTTTTGTTGAATGAAGAAGAAATAGAAGATGAGGGTTTGTGTTCTCTTTTGTTAAGGAAGAAGAAGATAAGGGAGTAGTAGAGGAGAGTAGAATGGCGCAGAGGGGTTTACAAATGAAGCTAGGTTTAATTTTTAACCTAAATGTTGGATATATAATGGACCAAACGGCAACGTTTAGAGTCATAGCTCACCCGTTTCACGCGTGGGTATTCATTGTATGGGTCATCCGAATTTTCAATATCATGCATCTTGGTCCTTAAATTGATGTTTTCATATTTCTACTTTTGGCTCCATATTCTATGTGCATTTAACTTTTGTCCTAAGAATTATTGTATTTAATCTTTACTGTTTAGACATTTAACTGTTAAAGTTGTGCGTGTTGTAGTTTGATCCTGAATGTTTATTATTGTTTAGTACATTATGATAACCATGGTTTTATTGTAGTTACTTAAATTGGTTTTATGTTTTTTTACTTCAATTGTTATTATTTTTACAATTAAGATGGTAAGTTTCGATTCTTTATTATTTAATGCCTAATTTAGATGGTTTGCTTAACCTATGAAATTTGCATTTTTAGGAGTTATGTTCATTTTTTTATTTTGCATATTGGTTATTTTACCATTAAAGTGTTTTATGTTATAGATATTTATTTTGCTTATAGTATTATTATATATTACTTTGTACGTAACATTATATGTATAACATGATAAATATTATATTTTACATTTTCACTATATTCTAGAATAAATATGTTATACGTTTAATATCATATTTAGAAAATATGTATCTATTTATAAAATAAAATAAAGTTAAAAATAACCTTAAAATTGTTTTTTTAATTCATATGTTCATTTCACTTTTTGCAATTAAGTTTTGTTATTTATATGTTAATCACTAATACGATATTTTCTATTTTATTTCTTTCTGATTTGTGCATTTTTATTTTCAGTTATTTTTATCATTAACCTTCTAATCTTTACTTTATTGTTCGAACTAACATCATAATATTTATTTTATTGATTCGAGCTATCATACTAACTTTTTATTTTGTTGTTGTTATTAGCCAACAAACGTTTTATTTTATTGACAATTAACCCTTAACTTTTAAATTTAATACAAATTATTTTTTTATCTATTTATTTTTTCTAGCATTTTAAATTTCAGTACTTTATTTTTCTTCCATTTAATGTTTTAGCATTTTATTTCAATCCTTTAGAATTTCATTTTTGTAAGTTATTAATTTGAAACAAATTAATTAAATTTCAATAAATAGATCATATTTTAACTTTATATTCGACTCATAAATTCCACCATTTACGACAACGTGTAAGCAACACAGTACCAATTTTGGGCGCTATGAGGGTGCTAATCCTTCCTCAGGCGTAACCGACTCCCGAACCTGTTTTAATTGAATCTTTGTAAACGCATACCATCTTTTGTCTTAAAAAATAATTTTTTTAAATTGTTTTTAAAAAACATTTTTAGGTATTCGACCTACCTAACCCAAAGGTTGATAGGGACTCTATCCAATTTAATTCATATTAATCCAAAATCACCGAATTTTCCAAAATTAAAAGTCGTATCTGTTTTTAAAAAATAAACAATTGTTCCACCTAAAAAACAGTTACGACAACTTGGCGACTCCGCTGGGGACTTTGTTTTCAGAAAGTCAGGTTGTAAGTCGCTTGCACATTGTCGTTTGGTGGAAATTACGAGTTCAAGTCTTTAGTTAACTTATGATCTTTTTATTGAAGTTTTTAATTGCTTCATTTTATTATTGTCTCACTAATATTTTTATCTTTGTTTTCATATTTGTACAAGTTTGTCGAGTTGTTTCGCCTTCCTTTTGAGTCAAATGGCTGAATGTTTCTCCTCACACACATCATGGTCATTTGCATAACATAAGCTCACTTACGAGCTTCGTCCATTTTAAGTTGAGATGAAAGTTTAGCCTACGTGAGATAATTTGTTTCTCCACATGGGTTTTAGCAAGTAATATTTAGGGTTCATATACCTTATATCTACGTGAGATAAATTGTTTCTCCACATGGACATAAGGGAATGTATCCCCTCGAATTGAACTCGTTCTGCTTGAAACATTAATGGTTGATGATCGAGGGTTGGGTAGCCCAATGGGTCACCGACATTAAGGATAATTCGAGTACCTTTTTCCCGTTAGAGCCGAAACTATGCATATAGTGAGCTTTAGAACAATCACTCTAGATATAGTCAGTAGGTACCCAAATTAAGTATAC